TGGACTCCAAGGCCACACCTCGTGCCCCACAGCTGCACACCTACATGTGTGTTCCACCATTTCTCATGCTTCCCAAGCTCAGGTAAGTTCAAACTCTGCTGTGCCTGATGCAAAAGGTGCTGGAACTGAGACTAGGGCTCTGGGGTGGATCCTGGACTCAGAAATAAAGATCGCTTGGTCAGTCTTGAAGAGCACAGTGCAGGAGTGAATCTGGACAGGGAGCAGCAGACGGCTGCCCCCAGAGGGAGCTGAGAATTAGGAGGGGTCCCTCAGCTGCCACCTCAGGATGCCCGGCTATCTCAGTCCTCAGCTCCAAGAGGTGGCCAGGCCTTCTACCCCTGCACAGCCACTGCTCCACTGTCTAAGAAGCTTCAGAATTTCCTGAGCTCAAGCACAAGAAAAAGTGGCCCTGGGAAGGACATTTACCCACTGAAGACTTTTTGGATGGTTCTAGGGCCAGAAAAGTCTCAGCTGACGGAGCTCTGCAGGAAATTGTCCCTGAGATTCTTGGGAACACAAGCAGCCAGGCTGGCTCATGCTGAAGTCTGGTGTGTTTAACTTCAATTGGAACAATGACCGGCTTGTCTGTCTATGTCTGTATTTACACACAAAGAAACCTAAGGGATCCCGATGGAAGTGCTAGACTAAAGCTTGGCTACTTGGCCTCAGCCTGCTACTTCTCTTCTCTGGGGGGGACAAAAAAGCAGGAAAAACAGTGAAGAAAAGTCTGCCTCATGGTTAGATTCCCCCAAAGGGAATCTTAAAAGTACTAACGTGCCAACTCCATCGCAAACCTCTCATGTGAAATCCATGCCTACTGCAACCTTATTTACCACTGAGCTTTATTTTGTAAAGAATTACTTTCAAACAAAAGAATCTTCAAAAGTGTTTTTAGATGACAGCCTTCTTGCCTCTCCAGTTCAATAATAGGCTTTCTTAAAAATTTGTAATTTTTTAAAAGTTACTATTAAAAGAAGCAAGGCACTTTGGGAAAGCAGAAAAAAGAACACAGATATGTATGTTCTTTTTTTTTTTTTTTTCAAGTCAGAAAAATACCCTCAAACCTGTCAGGTAACCTCTTCTGGAACCAAATGTCACCTGAAGAATGGAAGGGGAAACTTAACACGGGCCTGTGACAGTGGTGCCGTCACCTTTGGTGATGAATAAGGTCCCAGCTGTCACAGATTAGCTCAGCAGACTGGGTTTCCCCCTCATTTACAGTAACTTGCGGCTGAACTCTCCAGACCCTGTCAACAAGCATAAGGGGAGCTATGCCTGGTTCTCCACTTTTGTGCTCTACGCTGTGGCCGCGCATGCACTGAAGAAGTTTTCAAAGTGACCATTAGGAGCTCCTCTATTTCTTCTGCTCATCAACTACTACTGAGGACAAGCAAGCCACTTACCCTGAATTGTCTGAATAGTCATAGATGATCGATGCTTACATCTCAGTGGCACCTCCCTTCTTCAACTTCATTCTTTCCGTGACTCGAGTCACAAAGTGAACTGGTAGAGAACCTGATCAAATTCAGCGATCAGGTTTAGCCTTGACCTTAGGGAAATTTGATTTGGTTCTCTTGCAGTTCAGTATGTGATTGGAGTCATGCAAAGAATCAAGTCTGGGATCAGAGGCACACTGTTTTTATAAAGAAATAGAGCTTATGGAGAAGGGCATTCATATACATACTACGTACATGGTGGGTGGACAAGGAAATACATAATGGGTAAAGAAAGGCATTTCATCATACTCTTAGAAATCTAAGCTAATCAAAATGCATTTTCAAATATCCTGCCTAAAGCAATGTTGACAGCATGAAGTTGCTCTTAAAGTTTTTCTGGATTTGCATATAGCACACAGAATTTGTCAAACCTTCTGTTCTTTGTAGTTCATAATTATTAAGGACTATAAAGCAGACACTCCTCTGGCGTTCCCTGGCAAGCTCAGGACCTCCAACTTGAGTCCTGCCTAATTCCTACACTCTTTGAGTTTTATTCTGCTGAAGTAATAAATCACATATGTCCATGAAAACACTGTTGTTACCTCTGCAAATTGGGTACCACTGTCTGGGGCAGAAATCTGGCAAAACTCCACAGTTCCACATGTGTGAAACCACAAAGGGCGATTCATGCAGCAGGGTAGAACAGAAATATTATGAAATCAAACGATGCTTAAATTCTAATTCTGTGGATATTGTATTTGAAAGCAAAAACCAAGATGGTATTGTATATGGAAGCAAAATCCAGGTAAATAGTTTAAAATAATTTAAAGAATAAGTTCTATGAAAGAAGGCACTAAAACATGAGCGTTCAACCGAGATAAACATAAAAAGGCTTCAGATTTCTACTCACCCACAATGTGACCCACAATGTAATTTCTATAAGTATAGTGGAAAAAACAAGCAAGAAATAATGTTGACTAGCTCACTGGGAAAAGGAAGAAAGAAAACGAGGGACATATTCCCTTGAGAGCACCCAAAGTCCCTCCTTGGCTTGGAGGCCCATGCTCCACATTGAAAGCAAAGAGGAGAGGCTTTCCCCTTAATTAGCTGAGTAATTACCTTCATTGTCTGCTTTACTTTGGCTGTGGAGACATAGTAACAACCATGAAGACCCTACTGAAACAAGAAGATACGAAATTCATAAGACGCTCTCGTCTCCAGGGCAGAAAGTCCAGGAACATCACCTAGAAATGCAAACTGGGACCTTTGGGGACAAGATTACACTCTTTACTTTTCAGTCATGTTAACACCAACTCTTCACTTTCTAGGCCTCAGGGCAGCCTTCTTCACAGTGCTTCACATTGAATAAATGAAGTGAGCATAATCAGAGAATTACGGACTGCGTTAGCTGTTGGCATTTTGAAACACAAACATTAGAATGATCACTTTGCTCGGGTCCTTTAGCCTCCTGTTGCAAAACAAAAGACAAGTAAGGAAATAGGCTTGCCTGGGAAACAGATATCAAATCTGTGTCTCAGTCCCATAAGAGAAAATGTACAGCAGAGTTCAGTGTGTTTAAGAAAACCTAGGGAAAATTATTACAGTCCTGCAATCTTGATTTTCGGTGGAAATGTCCACTGCGAGGGAATATTCTGCCACCTTGTTCTGATTTCTGGGGTACCCACACTGGCCACACACGTCTGCCTCCTGTGCTTTAACAAGGCCTTCCCACTGTAGTCACCTTCCGAGTGATGTGACACCTGCACACACTTCTACTCTTCTACTATCCCCGCCTCTTGAAATTTGAAGAGTTTAGCATTCTGATCTCACAGTGGCTACAAGGAGAATCCACTTTATCTGAGTGGCTTTCAACAGAAATGAAAGAACTGCTTCCAGGTTCTCTAAGCATCCGGGTAGCAAAGTCATCTTTGGGGAAAAATCTGTTTCCCTTCCTGTTAGACATTATCGTGGCTGTACTTTTATTGGTTTGTTTGTCTGGCAAAGCTCTGTCCCCTTTGTCTGTTAGGATGTATTAGCCTCCTCTCCTTCCCTTTACTAATCCATATGGGTAAATGTCCATAGTTCATATAACAAGCCCATGGGCCCAAAGTGGAAAGGAGGAGCCTATTCGTGTGTTTAGTGGCCAGATACTGCTTGAAATTTATGTTCCGCTGGAGTGCTCACTGCAGGATTTGTTATTGTTGTTGTTACAAGACGTTGAGGAAATGCAGGAGACACAGGAGGTCTCTACAGTTGGGTACAAGGAGTCCTCCCTTAGCTCCTGAGAATTTACCTTCTTCCTCCTAACAGTGTCTCTAGTAAATTATCAGGCAAATTCCAGGTCATCGGTGGAATGGTGGAAATATAAAGCTGTTTTGCCACGATCCCCCTGGGGGACAGGAGTTTGGGGACCTGTACAGTGTGGCCTCAAGGGCTTTGTTGTGCCAGGCTAACAACCCTGCTGACCCTTCGTCCTCCCGGGTAGGCAGGCAATGCAACATTAACAAAATGCTATGCCTCCTGAGTTTCTGTAAATCTTCTAATAGCCCGGGATGTTGCTCTTTTCTGGCGTTCAGGGAGGCATCAGAAAGATCCACCAACTTTCTCTGTATTCTGTAAGCTTGCCCATTAGAAAAAAAAAACAAAAAAAAAAAAAACAGGACAAACAACAGTGCTCGGACTGAAACCGAGAGATTCATCAAGGGACCACTTTCGGGGAAGGGAAGCAAACATCAACTGGATGGGGCGTGAGAAGGAAGGAACGAGGAAATGTAGTTAAGTTTCCAGAAATTAAAATTTTTAGTGGCGCTTACATTTACCTAAACTTGTTAATAACACAAACTAGATGGCCAGGGCCCCTAGAGAGACAAGCAGCACCTTCTCACTGTGGAGCGCAGGAGGTGTGTGGCACTGCAGTGTCAGGGGTGGGGTGGGGAGGAGAGGGTGTGTGTCTGAGCTCCGCACCAGGGCAAGGCGATTCTTTGACGCAGGTATTGTCTTGCCAGTGTTCTTTTTGTGAGAGGGAGGACAGAACTCAGCACCTTGCTGGGCTCTTCTTCTCTCTTTTTTTTTATATTTTTAATAATGTCAAGAATTTCACTTTAGGAAAATTGAGTGACGTGTCCTCTAGCCAACCTTCATCTTTTTCCTTGTTTCTCCTCCCAAAAGCTCAGTGAAGCTTTCTTTGATGTCTCAGTATGCTTTTAGCAAGATGGCAGGAAGTGAAAGACAACTGGCTGTGTTGTAGGACAATGTGCAACCAAGATTCCTAAGGAAGCCCTCATTGCTAGTACAGTTATGAAGGCGTCAAGCAGCAGAATGAATGCTGGGCGCAGGCTCGCACCACCACGGTGAGCAGCAAGGGCCAGCCGGGCAGTTTGGATGAAGGAGGTGCCTGCAGGCTCCAGGAGGAAGGTGACATATTTTAACTATGGAGCTGAAATTCAAATTTTCAAGTATTAGAGGCAAATGTAAGGTAAAGTCTAAAATCACCACACCGTATAGTAACTGAGCTCACTAACTTTATCAAAATGTAACACCAAATAATGTATCATTGTAAATGTTAAAATGGCAGCATTTCTACCGCATAGCTTGAGCATACTCAATACTCAGGGGCCATACTAATCTTCTCTGTATTGTTCCAATTTTAGTATATGTGCTGCTGAAGCAAGCACGAGCACACGCAACATGAAACCACAGCGGTCAGGGCCAGTGAGATAGCTCAGCGGACTAAGTGCCTGCTTAAGCAAGCTTAGGGACCAGGGTTCGATCCCAGGCTCTGAATGCTGTGCCAGCCCCACCCTCAGGTGTGTTGAGCCGGTGACAAGTCTGGGCACATGCCTGTAATCCCAGCGCTGGGGAGGCTGCTAATAGGAGGATCACTATGAGTTCAAGCTGTGTAGTGAGACTTTGTACCAAATACATAAATTTAAAATAATCACAATGGTCACATTTGCAAAATATAGTTCTTAATGAATCTGGCCCTTCCTGTTCATGCAACCTGAGCCCACAGGGCAGCTATCTACCATTTATAATGACAGATATTTCACAGGTTTAGTGTTTGGCTGCTAGAAAACTCATTAATAATTCAAGGACACAACATATTAAGTATAGTTGTTTCATTTCCTTCCTCTTTGCAAAAAAACATTGTGCACAGGGGAAGGGAAAAAAATTTGTGCACATTTAATTCAGTGTAGAAATACATAAACAAGCAAATATTCCCCTTGAGAAGACTATAAAAGAAAGAAAAATCTTATACGCTTTGTAATTTCACATTACAATTTAACATCTACTTTATAATTTCAGACAAATTATTGGTAAATTTAAAGCACAATGAGCAACTAACCATTTTCATCTATGCTAAGTTTAACAACTCCGAAAGGAAATTTTGCTGTGTGAAATTTAAAACATGCAATTTAGATATTACATTTTTACAGTAAAATTGGATAAACTATTTACTTGCTAGATTGTCAGGGAAGGTAATAGAGATAAATAGTTTATCTCTATTAGATTATTTTTCTTCCTCGATAAGATATAAAAGTCAATGATTAAATTGATTTTTTCCCCAAATGCTTGTAATGATACTAAAATGAGATGACGTATATTTGAATATCCTTTACAATCTCTGTATCTTGACTATTATCAAGCAACAAGATTAAAAATAGTTAAGAAATTTGTTTTTCTTTAAATTACAGACACATAACTTTAAGGAAACTGATTTCAAAAGCACTAGTGGATAGACCAAATTTTTCTCTTTGTTGCAAGTTTAATTTTAGACTCTGGTGAAAGAATTTAAAATGTGCAGGAAGCAGCTTCACCTCTTTCCTTCAAAAAGTTTTTCCATACATAATTAAGGATTTCATCTTAGCAGAACAAAATCCAATTATAAATCACAATTTCTTATGGAGAATATTGCTCAGTAATATTCATCCTTAGAATGAATGTTTTCTTCCAGAAGACTTTTGAAGTATGAAAAGAAAATCAATGAATTTCTTAAATATGTAAAAGCCATTGTAGGGTCAGCCAAAAACTCAGCAGATTAAAGCTCCTGCAAACAGGTGCAGGGGCTGGGGGTTCGATCCCTGGGCCTGGGGCCTGCTGTGCCTGCCCCACGTCTGGGGCATGTGGAGACGGCAATTGAGAGTGGACGTGGTGGTGCGTGCTTGTAGTCCCAGCTCTTGGAAGGCTGTAAATAGGTGGAGATCTACGAGTCCGATCTAGTAGTGAGACCCTGAAGGCCCTATAGACCCTTCCCTAAAATAGAAAGAAAGAAAGAAAGAAAGAAAGAAAGAAAGAAAGAAAGAAAGAAAGAATAAAAGCCATTGGTTTGAGTTTTGATTCATGTTTCTGGTTGCTGTCCTGTCAAGCTCTACTTCCTAGATTTTCCCCTTCTGATCCTCTACCAGGTAATTACTGTTGAGTTGCATGTTTTGCCGCGGCATACAGGCAAAGAAATGGACGAAGAAGGAGCTACCACCAACTGAAAGGCAGTCACTACTAGAGGTTAAAAGATACAGGAGCAGCACTTAGAAAATTAGATGTCAAAAGAAGACCCAGGCTGAACAGAAGGGACAGCATGTGGTTGACATGGGCCTCCACAATGAGACACATGCGATTCAGATAAGTTTCTGACTTCCTCCCTGGTTTGCAATGAATTCTCCAACATCCCGTTTCCTTGTATTGAAATGAGGATGAGCACTAATGACTACATTGACAGTTGTGGAGTCTAAAGAAAAGAACTAGGTAAAGCACCTATTTAGGCATCTGGTACAAACAAATAATTCAGTGAGTGTTGGAGAACACCTGTGTTCGTGGTAGGGCGCATGCACGCATTCATGCAGAAAAATTGATTCTGCGTGTCATAAAATCCCGCATCAGAGAGCTAAATTTAAGGCACTGAAAAATCAGGTCAGGATCTTTCTAAATCCATTAAAATAGCCAGTCAGGGTGGTGTGCGCCTGTGGTCCTGGCACTCAGGAAGCTGAGGCAGGAGGCGTGAATTTGAGGCCAGCAAGGGCTACATAGATGTTTCCAAGGCCAATGTGAACTACGTAGTGTGACCCTGTCTCAAACTTAGAAGGAAATGAATAAATAGATCCACTACAGTGCCAAGTCATGTACTAGGTGAACTCTAATTGCTTTTTACTTCCCATACATATACCTAGGTGCACACACAGGCATAGAGTATCATTGCACAAATGTAATGTAACTTAATTTCAAGAAGGAAGAAACTGGAAAGGCAGATCATAGGAATCACGCATTTTTCTCTGTACAGTCATTTGATTTTCTAATGTTTTTCAGTGTTTAACTTTGAATAGTTTTGATCTGTGGTCAGTGGAGGAAAAGAATCATTTATTCTAGATGTGGTGCAACAGCATGAGAAAATTATTTGAGACAAAGTAGAGGGCTGGCCAAATGGCTCTGTGGACTAAAGCGCCTGCTTAGGCAGAGCGCAGTGACCTGGGTTCGATTCCTGGTGTCCTGTGCTGGCCCCGCCCATGGGACACACTGAGATGGTGATTGAGACTGGGCGTGGTGGCACGTGACCGTAATCCCAGCACTTGGGAGGCTGAACACAGGCAAATCACTACGAGTTCCATTTACATAGTGAGACCCTGTAGACCCTTACTAAAATTAAATAATAATAATAATAATAATAATAATAATAATAATAATAGTAGACTTGCATGGGCCTCAAGAACTTAAGCATGGTGACTGCAGCCCATGGAGCTGGGGTTGAGGAGGAATACTCATCAGGCCAGGTGAAGGGAGGCACAAGTGCCAAAAACCTCATCGCTAAGGGGTTAGAAGCGACAGATTCCAGGGCAGAGTGCTTTTTGGAACTGAGCTCTCATTAGATGAGCATTAGAAGTGGTGCTTGAATCACTGGGAGGAGAGGAAATGAATTATCTACCCGAAGCTTAAGACAGCTGTGTGGATATGTTGGTTGTCTGTTGCCACTATCCTAATAAATACCAAATTCTAATTTTCCTGCTTTTAAAAATAGTTTCACATAGATCTCGTATCAGGTTAAAATCTTAAATTTGATCTGGTTCAACTTCTTCTAAATTTAAATTTTTCTGATACTAAAAAGTAACTCTTGTAAACACAATACCCCATCGGCTGTGTCCTTTATCAAAAGAGCCCATCAGAATTCATTGTGTGTGTGGCCACAGCATATGCCTTCCCCAGAGAGGGGGTCAGAGGCTTGGGGAACATTCACAAAATCTTGCCCACATGTTTTACCAAAGCATAAACTGCATCCACACCAGTAGCCCCAACCTGAGTGATCACAAACAAATGCCAAAGACGTGCAAGTGCCTTTGGTGGAAAACAGTTATTTACAAGGAAGAATTTTAAAGCTGAAACTGAAACATTGAGATGGATGCTGACTTGGCGCCATTTCAAGGCAGGTGAATGAGGCGACCAAGTCTGGAAACGTTCCTGCACCGGCAGTTTTGCGTCTACCATGGGCGAAAGCACTGGAGGAGCTGTTGCGGATCTTACACACCTATGGAGCAAGCAGCCGCATTCCCTTTCCTAGGAACAAACATACACCATTACTTCATTTTGAAATCATAACCATTGCTCTCCTAAACCTCCAAATTAGTGGAATTTATTCTCCCCAAATTGAATTGTCTACTTTCAGCTATGCAATAATGGCTGTTTCCATAATGGCTCTACTGAGGGAAAAGGAAGATTCAATCTTCCTGCTACTTGTTTAAAGCTCTTCGCATTTTTTCACAACAGCCCATTTTTCATTACCAGGAGAGGTATGCAATTTGGACCGAGCTACCTTTTACTCCCAGGAAATCAATATGTGTCAGAAGAGCCGAAAAGAACGCAATACCGCTCGCTGTCATTGGGCCTTCCCCAGAGCAAGTCCCAGAAGACAGTCTGAGTTCGGTTGCTATAGCAACACAGCTCTGGTATCTTTCTTCCTTGGTTTGCTGCAGTGAGTTGATTTTTCCCACCCCAGTGCAATCCTGAAGAATTTTTATGGTAAAGAAAAAAAAAAAAATCACAGAGTCAATAGCAATGCATGTGACCTTTCTATCGATCTGTGATGATTTAATTCAAAAGTAGTAAAAAGATGGTTATTCCATAACAATGCAAATCCCGTTGCTGATTTCCAGCTAAATTATTCATCGTGTTTTCCTTAGGCCTTTCAAGTCATCACAGTCTTTAAGCTGTGCAGAAATGTCCTTAAACTCTGAGAATGTCAGTATCAAATCTCATGCACTTTTACCAAAATGGGAGGTCTGCTTGAAAATGTTCTTGAAATAATATTAATCCACTTAAAAAATCTGCAATTACCAAGATTCAACGATCCTACAGGGCAAATGGGGGAGAGTTATGTTCCTTGATCTTTAGTAGAAAGATATAAGAACAAGTAACAGTGTATCTTACATTATATATACAGTTCTAATTAGTTTTGAAGGTTAAATGTGAGGGACAATAGAAAACATCTGGACAGTGCCTAACGTACAGAGAATACCTCATAAATGTTGCTCTAAATGTTATAGCTATCATGTGGTATAAAAATACTTTACTATAATTGTACTTTAAATATAACAGAACACGTCCTCTTCATCCGAGGACTAACCTTATAATTAAGTTTTTGCACCTAGTGGACTCGGCACAAGAGGGAACTTGGCGTGCCATGTGTCGTAAG